TCCAAGTTCTTTGATTTACAGGTGAAAAATACCTTCATCAGTGACACAAAAATAATAATAGAGATTGACATCGATAGCAGTAAAAAATGGAGACTGACAAATTATTTGCAGTTGAAATTTTCAAACAAGAGTGCACATACTGAAATGTATCCTGCCTTTAACTTATCATTCAATTCATGTGGAAAGTCTTTAATATAAAAGTTTTACTGCAAATATCACATAAACATTATCAATGTTCTATAAAAATAAGGTAAAGGTCAGATGAACCATGCCAGACACATGAGACAGATATGTTCACCTTACAATCATTCTATACACCAAATACGATGGTCCTATCTCTAATAGTACCTGAAAAACAGATCAAACCACAAAATCTTAACATTGACTAATGAACCATGAAAGTGAGGTCAAGGTAATATGAACCCTACCAGACAGACATGTACACCTTGCAATCATTCCATACACCAAATATTAATATAGTTGACCTGTTGCTTATAGTATCTGATAAACTGACAAAATTATGCAAACTTATCATTGACCAATGAACCATAAAAATGAGGTCAAGGTTATATGAACCCTGCAGGACAGACACATACAACTTACAATCTTTCCATACACTAAATATAATTGACCTATTGCTTACAATATCTGAGAAAAAGACCAAACCACGAAAACTAAATATTGTCCAATTAACCAGGAAAATGAGGTCAAGGTCAGATCAAACCTGCCAGACAGACATGTACACCTTACAATCATTCAATACACCAAATTTAGTGGCCCTATTGCTAATAGTACCTGAGAAATAGACCAAACCACAAAAAATAAACATTGTCCAACTGTAAGCATACTTTCATTCCGCCATGTATTTATTACGGGTAACTGTTTTTCACTAGAGAATATTGGATGTAAATAGTGTGAAAGCGTCGATCTTGATATCGTTGTTTTGTTTATATTAGACCGGTTTATTGTTTACATAAATAAATGGGTTAAAATTAAAATGATTTTCAAGGAACCAGTTTAATTAATCTGAGTCAATTTAGTAATTATAAATAATATTGATGATGATGAGGAGGATGTTTTTATAACTCAAAATACTTTATCAATGATCAGGACATTGAACTTGATATAAACCAAATTTAAAGAGCAGATTTGTTCTTACATAAAGTTTCAATTATAGAAGTCGACCGAAAAGCAAATACACAGAAAAACTTCAGCAACCCAATAAATATAAATATTACAATTAGTGACAATTTAAAAGCATATGATTTTAAAGATTTGCATAGAAAAAATATTTAAATCTTATTCGTTAATAAGAATTATTGTGTTATCGTGTGTTCAAAATGAGTACTAATCACTTCATCAATGTATGGATCTAATGCACTAGTGTAATTAATCCCGGTACAAAATAACTAGAGCAATCATTCCGGTACAAAATCACTAGTGTAATCATTCCTTGTTTAAAAACACTAGTGTGAACATTCCTTGGATGAAAACTCTCCACTTTTTACATAAATCATTTATGCAAGTTTCAAATAGACTAAAAACTATTATTCCACATTTTATATATGTTTCCCATTCAAAAAACCCTTTTTAGAACCTTATAATGACTGGTGGATGTTTTACACTGGACCCAGATAGAAAAACCTAGTGAATTTTTGTTGGTGGATAAAAATCACTGGGGATTTTCTTCCTCCGGATAAAGTACACTGGCGGAATCAAACCACTGTTACACAATGAACCATGAAATTGAGGTCAAGGTCAGATGAAACCTTCAAGCCAGACATGTACATCTTACAATCATTCCATACACCAAATATAGTTGACCTAATTGTTGTCTCATTGGCAATCATACCACATCTCCTTATTTTTATACTAATACTTATAGTATCTGAGATACAGATTTGACCACATAACTTTTACCTTGATCACTGATCCATGAAATGAGTACCAGGTCAGGTGACAGACATGAAGAAAGTTTTCCATGGAACACATATACCAAATTTAGTTATCCTATTACTCATAAGAGAGTAACAAAAAACTGTAAAGTGAATATTTCATGTAACAAAAAACTGTAATTTTTTTTTTTAAGCAGTCACTGAACCATGAAAATGAGGTCAAGGAAAATAGACATGACAGACAGAAACTTCATAACATAAGGTATCAGTATGCAAGGTATGAAGCATCCAGGTCTTCTACCTTCTGAAATATAAAACTATATACAAATAGTTTATGGCGTTGCTGCCACTGCTCAACTATAATCCTTATGTCTCGCATTCTGCAACTTTCTTTCAGGCAGAAAACAGGAAAACATGTAGGTGTCTGACAGATCCATAGGGGTGCTCATAAGTTTCAACTCATCACTGCCAAGCTGCTGACAAAACCGGAAGTCATTTTGTTCAGAAGAAGTATGATAAAATATTCAAGTTCATTCAACATATTAAAAAATTCAAAGTATAGAAAAACAGATAGTAGAAATCTGACAGATCCTAACTAGAGGCTCTCAAGAGCCTGTGTCGCTCACCTGTATTTACTGATGCTTTGGAAATCATGTAAAATAAGGTTAAAATCATAATTAATAGTATTAGATATTAGATATTATAATGATATCTAAGATAATAACAAAAAACTGCAAAATTTCTGTAAAATTACTAACTCAGGGGCAGCAACCCAACAACGGCTGTCTGATTCGTCTGAAAATTTCAGGGCAGATAAATCTAAATCTGATGAACATTTTTGCCACCTGTCAGATTTGCTCTAAATGCTATAGTTTCAGAGATATAAACCAAAAACTGCATTTTACCCCTATGTATTATTTTTAACCATGTCGGCCATGATGGTTGGAAGGCGGGGTCATCGGACAAATTTTTTTAACTAGATACCCTATTAATGATTATGGCCAAGTATGGTTAAATTTGTCTCAGTAGTTTCAGCGAAGAAGATTTTTGTAAAAGATTACAAAAATTTAAGAAAAATTGTTAAAAATTGACTATAAAGGGCAATAACTCCTAAAGGGGTCGACTGACAACTATAACCCAGGATTTCAGAAAATGACCTATTTTCACCCGTATTTCTGACTGGTATTGTTTCCAGTATTTAGAAATCAAATATACTTTCGGTTTTCTCTGCATTTTTCCTTTGAAAAAGGTAAACAATTGAAATTAGAATTTGCTTATTTACCATGCCAATGACAGCTATCAAAACATTACATTTGATTGAAAAGTAACAATTTAAGGATTGTTTGTTAATTGAACCCCCAGAAAGTTGAAGCCAGTCAAGCTTGACATACAATTCTATGTCCTGATTAAAAGATTTGCCGTTTGCAAATATCAAATATCTGGTAAAAATCATTTTAAAACAATTTGTACCTTTTAATACAATTCTGTTGGAGAGAATAATTTTGTTATCACTTAAATGTAAAAGCTTTAAATCAAATCCATATGCTCTAAATAATACACTGAAAGGAAACACACTGACTTCTTTTTATTTATCCATCTCCTGTGTATAGGAGCACATTAGCTTTAATTGATTTCTAATTACATGTATAGCTGGGGTATATGACATTCACTAATAAAAAGAAGTATTAAAACTAGTGAGAATAAAACAATAAAAGGGCATTGCTTTAGAATGATAAATATTTATATACTTAACAATTACAAAAGTGATTATTTTTAGGAAACTCAGTGGTACATGTATATTTTATAGTAAATAAAAAAAATTCTCAATACTAAAATTGGACCGAAAAGTTCATATGCGTTATGACCTGACATTTTCTTCTTCAATGCAGGTCATGACCTGCATTTTCAGTTTCAGAGGTTGACAGGTATGATTAACTATTAGAAACATTTATCTGTAACATCATTTTTCTCTCTGTTGAGTAGCTTGAACTTACTTATTTACATTAAACAAGAATGTATCCATAGTACACAGATGCCCCACTTGCACTATCATTTTCTATGTTCAGTGGACCGGAAAATTGTGGAAATCATCATCAAAGGGCAATAACTCTAATAAGGAGTCAACTGACGATTTCAACCATAAGATGTATTTGAGGAACTTGTCCTTCTGATCATTTTTGCAATTTAAAGTTTCTCTCTATCTATTATAGTTTTCCAGATAATAGGCAAAAATGAAAACTAGAGGCTCCCAGGAGCCTGTGTCGCTCACCTGATATTTTTGTTTACAATTGATGTATGAAATAATGCAACCATTATACTTTTGCTTTAGTTTGAGATATTAGCCAAAAACTGCATTTTACCCCTATGTTACATTTTTAGCCATGTCGGCCATGTTGGTTGGCAGGCGGGGTCATCGGACATATTTTTTAAACTAGATACCCTAATGATGATTGTGGCCAAGTTTGGTTAAATTTGTCTCAGTAGTTCCAGTGGAGATGATTTTTGTAAAAGATTACAAAAATTTACGAAAAATTGTTAAAAATTAAATATATATAAATGGCAATAACTCCTTAAGGGGTCATTTGACAATTTTGGTCATGTTAACTTATTTGTAGATCTTACTTTGCTGAACATTATTGCTGTTTACAGTTTATCTCTATCTATAATAATATTCAAGATAATAACCAAAAACAGCAAAATTTTCTTAAAATTACCAATTCAGGGGCAGCAACCCAACAATGGGTTGTCTGATTTGTCTGAAAATTTCAGGGCAGATAGATCTTGACCTGAAAAACAATTTTATCCCATGTCAGATTTGCTCTAAATGCTTTGTTTCAGGGATATAAGCCAAAATCTACATTTTACCCCTATGTTCTATTTTTAGCCATGGTGGCCATCTTGGTTGGTGAGCCGGGTCATAGGACACATTTTTTAAACTAGATACCCAAATGATGATTGTGGCCAAGTTTCAGAGGAGAAGATTTTTGTAAAAGTTAACGACGGACGACAGACGCCAAGTGATGAGAAAACCTCACTTGGCTACACTTAAGTTCTATAGCATAAGCTCTGAAGTCTCCAAACTGAAATTGTTTTTGATTTACTCACATCATTTTTAAAACTGTCTGCCTGATCAATAATTGGTTGAATTTTGTCGGACAGATCATTTACTGTATTCTTTATATCTGAAATGAAAAATACTTGCCTAAAATACAAATCCAAAATACATAAATTCAGATTTCCAAATAAGACCAACTGACAAAAATGCTAGATAAATCAAAGCAACTTCAGAAAAGGCTAAAGGGTAAATCCTATAGGTTGCACTTTGTAAATACAGCTGATTCACAAACCACACCTTTTTAAGGAAGATATTAAATATTCATAGAGATATTGTTTTTTTTTACCTACTGGTTCCCATATATGACCTCCATGTTTCATCTCATAGAGACAAAACATTGGAATTTTACTAGTATAAATACTGTTGGATAGTAGACAAATTGAGTTCTCAGGAAGACTCAAAGTAAAGGGAAGGGTGCTGTAGTACAGAATTTGAGTATAAGTGTAAACTCTTAGAAGTTCAAGTTGAAAATATGCCGCACAATGATTTGACCTTTGCAAAAAATAGTACTGCATATATGAACTTTCCATTCGAGGATATGATTTTTTAAGAAACTTCATAGTTTATAGAAGTGCAACCTTTATTTACCACAGGGTCCTAATATAAATCTTTGTAGTGGCTGCCATCTTTGATTTCAGATCTATTTTATCATTCAGATGCCCATGAAGTGAATTTATCTTTCATCCATAAAATTAATCAAAAAGTTGAAACAACTTCTAAGAAAAAGCAGTTTAGATATATTTCCCATAGGAGTCGTAAGTTAATATATGGTCTCAGATAAATATTACATTTTGTACTAATTCTAAATTAAAGAACCTTAGTGAGCGCGCTCACATACCCCACGTCCTCACATTGTCATTGGAGAAATAAAATATGTGTAAGAAAAAAAAATTGTATAAGAAAAAAAAATTGAATCATAATTTCCTGTCAATATGCACATCTACATAGTATGTCCTTATTATCTACAAAGTTTCATGAAATTATGTTGTGTGGTTTCAGAGGAGTTGCGATGACAAACTGTTGCAGAAGTACATTGAAGCAAATAAGTTCAAAGGGGCGCAACTCCTAGAAAAAAAATTGAACCGTAATTTCCTGTCGATATGCACATCTACATAGTATGTCCTTATTATCTAAAAAGGTTTCATGAAATTCTGTTGTGTGGTATCAGAGGAGTTGCGATGACAAACTGTTGCAGTAGTACATTGAAGCAAATAAGTTCAAAGGGGCGTAACTCCTAGAAAAAAAATTGAACCGTATTTTCCTGTCGATATGCACATCTACATAGTATGTCCTTATTATCTAATAAGGTTTTATGAAATTCTGTTGTGTGGTATCAGAGGAGTTGCGATGACAAACTGTTGTAGTACATTAAAACAAATAAGTTCAAAGGGGCGTAACTCCTAGAAAAAAAATTGAACCGTAATTTCCTGTCGATATGCACATCTACATAGTATGTCCTTATTATCTAAAAAGGTTTCATGAAATTCTGTTGTGTGGTATCAGAGGAGTTGCGATGACAAACTGTTGCAGTAGTACATTAAAACAAATAAGTTCAAAGGGGCGCAACTCCTAGAAAAAAAATTGAACCGTAATTTCCTATCGATATGCACATCTACATAGTATGTCCTTATTATCTAAAAAGGTTTCATGAAATTCTGTTGTGTGGTATCAGAGGAGTTGCGATGACAAACTGTTGCAGTAGTACACTAAAGCAAATAAGTTCAAAGGGGTGTAACTCCTAGAAAAAAAATTGAACCGTAATTTCCTGTCGATATGCACATCTACATAGTATGTCCTTATTATCTAAAAAGGTTTCATGAAATTCTGTTGTGTGGTATCAGAGGAGTTGCGATGACAAACTGTTGCAGTAGTACATTAAAGTAAATAAGTTCAAAGGGGCGTAACTCCTAGAAAAAAAATTTAATCGCAATTTCCTGTCGATATGCACAACTACATAGTATGTCCTTATTATCTAAAAAGGTTTCGTGAAATTCTGTTGTGTGGTTTGAGAGGAGTTGCGATGACAAGAAACAGGACTGACGGACGGACGGGTCAAAAAAATTATACCCCCCGTAACTCGTTACATGGGGTATAATAAGGATCATGCACAGTTTTAAGAAGATCACAACTGTCATCTTCTTAAACTTATATGTATTAATGTTGAACTTGACTTTTCAATGTACCTAGTAATGATTTTGGCCCACACTTATAAGTATTTATTCCATGTTACATTTGAGATATTGGGTAAAACAACAAAAATTATTTTGGAATTTGAAAAAAAATTGAGGTCTAAATACAATGATCCATGTTGCTATGTTGTTACAAGAGATCTTTTCAACATTGTTCAAGATCTAGTGGTAACACAAATTGTAAAGACAAAAGGGCCAACATATTGTTGTTCTTGATGTAACAAAGTTTTAAGTTAAGTGAAGTCTTTTTTGTATGATAAATGTTACTTGCTTAAGGTTCTCTTTTTCTGGATACAAAGAAGCCAAATAAAGTAAATGGTATATAGCCATATAGACTTACTGTGCCCTCTTACCACAGGTTTGTTACTTTGCTGTTTAGAAGTGATTGAGTTTGAATTTCTTTCTTATGAGACAGTTTTCAGTGAATTACTGAGTCCTTCAGTCAGGAGATTTTATTTTTTTCAGACTTATCGATTTTAATACTGTAAATTCAGAAATTATTGCGTGCATTTATTATTGCGATTTTGTCATTTTTGTCAAAAAGGATGGATTTAAGCATATGTCCCCATTCAAATGCATTGATCGTAAAAAAAACGTCTAAACACTACTAAGGACTTATAATATGCCACTAAAGACTAGAAAGGAGGTGTTACTTGTACTCTGTTTTCATATTATGGTAGAGATAGATAGATTTTTATTACATAAATTCCAATATTTATAGAAAAAGAACCACCAATAAATGAGTAGTTGAACAATATTTGGAACGTGCCGGTTTTTCCTTGATATTGCCGAAAATCAGTGATCTCGGGGTTTTACCTGAAACACTTTGGGAAAATGCAATTTTTAATTCCAATTTTAAACCAAACGGTAAGAGATATCCCAAGGTTTTTTAAAATGCATGTCTAATTTGATAAGGAGATTTGAAAAAACGTTCTCAATGGTAGTTGAAATTATTCAGTGCAATCATTTTGTGTCCGTCGTTGTCTTTCATACATATCAATTGGTGTATCCACTGTTTGCTGTTCATTATCTGTTGTTTATTGCAGTCAGGCCTCACGATCGGTCTCCAAATTTAAGCCCCCACTTAGGTTAATTAATTATCATTTATAGGGGGAGGGGCTATTTTTCTCGGGACAAACATTATTTTCCTTCCTTAAAAACAACTTAAAAATTTTCTATATTTTTTCATTTAATCATAAACCGATGAATATTTAATGATTTTTTAAAAATTAAAAAAATATTTTTATGGTAAATGTATCTAAATGTCTGGGTTATTTTCTTATCCAAATAATTAATTTTTCATTTTTTTAAGATAAGTGTTATCAGTTATGTAATTTGACACGTGTCTTATGGTTCAGTGATTTTAGGAAAAATCAAAGAAAACCGGCACATGCATTGTTCAATTATCATTTGTAATTTTTTTAAATTTATGCATTAAATATCAATCTCTATCTTGATAAGAAATTTGTTTACATGGTATAGCACCCCTTTTAGTCCTTAGTAGCATATTATAAGTCATTAGTGCACTAAGGAGTTTTTAGCCGTGTTTAGACACACCCTTTTCTGCTCTTTGGCCGGATTGTTGTCTCTTTGACACATTCTCCATTTCAATCCTCCATTTTATTCAATTAGTTGTGATTCTCTTTATCTCTCTGTTTGATGTTTTTGCAGACAAAATCAATTCGCAGAATTAATCTAAATAAGCAGACATTAAACTCTTTCTTCTAAAACTTTTAGCATTAAAACCTTATTGCATGAAATTGAATTAGTATGTTAGTTTGTAACCCGGATTTGTTTTGATCTCTATCGATTTATGAGTTTCGAACAGCGGTATACTACTGTTGCCTTTATTTAATATCAGTCTTTTCACATTTTCGGATGACCTTAATAATAGTTACCTATATAATGATTTTTGACAGAAATTTACATACTTAATAATTGAAGAATTCGTTCTTTTCATCGACACATTTAAAATTGCTGCCGTAAAATGTTTTTTATTCGCAACGTCAAACTGTGAAATATCGGGAAAAGATGCATTTTTTCGAGATTTAACCATAAGCTTAAAAACGAGCATATGGACCCCTCTTTTTAGAATTGTGAATAATTTTTTCGGATATTAATCTTTTAGACATACATTAAAAACGGTGTCCTTGATATGCAACCATGAACACAATGAAAAGTGAATCCGTGAAAGTGTTCCATGTGTATTCCATTCAAATAAAGACTTGTTATGATATACCATTTATTTAACTATTTTATCAAAAAATTTAAATAAAAAAGAATGTATATTAAACTCGTAAACACTATTTCAAGTTTAAAAAGTTCCTCAATTTAAAATCCTTCTTAAGGAATACGTGATATATTTGACTGATCTTATACTTGTTTAATTAAAAATGCCTTCAAATACATATAATGTTTATTTTTATTCAATTTTCCACAAAACATTTTTAGCTTAGTTTAAATGAAAATAAAGAACAGAGAATAAAAACACTGTTGAAGAGAAAATACATATTCGTGTTAAATTCACCTCAGTTTAATTTGTTAATTCAAGTTTGACATCTAACATCTTAATCCGCAATCCACATTTACCCGACAATCTTGTATATTGTATTTTCTCAATGGAATAAACTAACGTGCATGTGACCATCAGAAACTAAGACAAAAATGATATTTGTAATGGTATTTATCAAAACTTAAATGTTTGAATATATCTTAGTAGAATATGAATTTGCCAAATAAGCGAAGAATTATAATCTAGCCTAGTTCAATATTGGAGAAATGACTCAAGTTGAACGCTAATTCAATACTGATTCAATATTTTATTATATAGTCTCACCACATACAAACATTAAATGAGAATCACAGAAATAAACATAAAACATTAAAACATTTGCATTGTATGTACCAATCTTAAAAAGAATAATGAGAGACTTTTAAGACACAATATATTTACTCATTTACATTTAAAATTTACAGAGTCCACCTGTACTATATGAAAATAAAACTTTTTTTTTCTTTGAGAACTGGGAAATAAAATGCCGTTTCTTTTCAATAAAATATTGTTGATGTTTTTGGCAACTATATCAGCAACATTGCCGATATTAAATACTAAATATAAATTTTTCGCTATCTGATAATTATAGGTTAAAATGTTCATTAAAATGTTTAGCTTAATGTATCATAATTTGTCTTAAATCTACATATAATTGGTATTTTTAAATGACACGAAGTTCATCTTCAATAGTAGAGCTACAACACATGTCATCTCGTGGACTTTTTTTCTTTCATACTTTCCAGTTTCTATTTTTAGTGGAGCTACCCCACTACTAAATTTTGCAAAAGCACTTTTGTTTTTTATTGACAGAATATTTTAAACAAATAACAGTTGGCCAACAGTATATTTTTAAGCCCATTTCGCTCAGTTGAATAGAAATTCCAATTTTAACTGTCATGAATCTGTAAGAACGTTCTGTACGATGAAGTTAATTAAGTGTTCACAAGAAAGTAAGTATGAATGTAAATTTTATTTTGAGTCGGAACATATATATACACTTTAACCGTGAGATGAAATATAAGCTTTGATGAGCTCTATAACCTACTATCATATAAAAACCGCAATGAATGAATGTTACACGATAAGAGATGAACTTTTGACAAATGCACGTTATCTGATATACACAGTTATACACGATTGAGGAACGCACGATACACGGTAAAGAATGAATGATTGATGAACGCACGATACACGGTTAAGAATGATTGATTGATGAGCGCACAATACACGATTAAGAATAAACGATGCACGCACGTTACACGGAAAATACACGGAACGATGAATGATGAGCGCACGATTGGTACATGAACGATACAAACACGATTCACGCAGGATACACGATGAACGCACGGAATAATGGTCAGTTTGAATTTTAGAAGGTCTGTAGGTGATTTTTTGCATTTCTTATCTAAATCTAGGACACGCCAGTAAGAGCTTAACGTGATTTTGAAGCATGCTCATCATTGAGGTACTCCGACATCTAGTTGTTTTTATGATTGTTTTCTTTCTTTTTGAGTGACTGTCCTATTATAAACTTTGTGAAATTTTTGAAATACTAAGGATTACCCGAGGAATAGATTACCTTGGCTGTATTTGGCAAAACCTTTCGGAATTTTGGGTCCTCATTGCTCCTAAACTTTGTTCTATATTTGGCCTTTTTTAATGTTTTGTAGTCGTAACGCGCCTCTGGCGTACAAAACTTTAATCCTGACCACGTGTCCATGATGAGTTTATAGACTTTTACCAAATATAAATTGTTCTTTTGAGTGCATGTTCGGGTATTCACAAGACTTATGAAAACAAGATATTTTTGAAAACTAAGTCTTCCTGTCGAATTTTTGAATTGATTTAAGTTACTTCAGGAAATCCTTAAAATTTGAAATGTTTTATCTGACCAAATAATTGTCAGTATATAAGAGGTCCTAATAAAGCTGGTGTGTTACTCTCAAGAACAAAATACGAAATATTCTTATAATTTGTGTCACACTCAGAGTTACACTTCATATGGAAATTGGACTTTCAATTTCTCTATACAACCTATTCCATGAGTACAGACAGCTTCAATGAGTATAAGAATAATTTAAAGCATCCAGGAAACAAAATATGAAGATATGAAAAATAAAATAAACGCATCCAGATTATGAAGTAAACGGAGTGCTGAACTTTATATCTTGATCAGTCTGTGCAATTTGCTTTAGACATCCGGTTTGCAGAAATTGAGAATTGCAATTGGATTAGGTCTTTGTACATAAAACAAGGAGAAAAAATGATGTACACTCCCAAGTAATAAATAAAATAGTCAATCCTTAACAGATAACTTCAAATGGTAGCTGTATACAATTTTCTATTTACAACTAAAATCCAACAGTGCTTTTAATTGACGTGTGCAAGAATCTACACACAATAACATATTTTCTATAAAGGTGTTTTAATATCTTCATTACCTCATTCTATTAACAGTCAATTATTTCAAATCAAAAGCAAAAATAAATTCAGCAAAAAATATTTGGTGACCAGTCAGCGGTCTCGGGTTCACGTATTGCTTTTCTTTTTTCAAAGCTTGCTATTTAAACGTTAAAGCTATTTTAGATAATAGCAATTCTGACTGTGAGAGAGCATTTTCAATTACGAATAAAGAAATTTACCCTGAATTCAGATGTAACCAAACTGGCAGTTGTTTTGAATATGTGCCTAGTTGTGTTGTTCTGAATGCAGCAAAACAGGCCACCGTTGAATGCAATAAAAGTTTACAGTAGAATATTGTTTTTTATATTAAAAAATATGTATAATGTTCATATTAAAAAGTCCGCATCTACGTCACGTGTTTTCACACGCTTTTTGACATGTCATGTCATGTCATGACATGATTTGTCATTGTCAGTGGTTGGCAAGTATGACAAGAACCCAGAAATTTTATCAGTTAAAATGCATCATCAACTATTTCACTTAAAGAAAAAAATAGAGGTATGTTTATTTATTATATGTATTTTCAATGGACCAAAATATGTACTTTTTATGATTTTCTGAAAATATTTTACTGGATTATCTCCCTTGGAATAATCCACAAACTGTAAATTTGTGTACTGATGTGTAGTTAAAATTTTAATACATGTTTAATAATCAACCTTTAACTCATTGTTTTCCTTATTCATAAATTTCAGGGTCCAGAATTGGTCATTTACTAAAATACTGCCTTCAGCCTGGAGAAACTGGTTTCCAGTACATTACAGCATCTCTTAACTCACAGGAAGGGGAACCACATGAAATATTTTTTCTATGATATTTTTTCACAATGTTGTTTAAGCACATTTAATTTCAATCAAATTTGATGACCAACCCCACTTGTGGACTGTTGTGCATGTTTTTTGGTAGACTGGGTGTTAAGTATTTCTATTCATGAATATTAGCAGCAGAAAAATTGGAAAACAAACCTGCAACCTCTGTTTTTGTCTCATTTTCAACAGTCCACGGAATGTCTTCAAATTCTTGCTTGGCCTAAAGTAAAAATATATAACATGATATTGATTTCAGATAAAAAAAAAAAAAAATATTTGGGAACATATGCTTGTCGAAATATATTGATAGCAATGATGAGAAACTCAATAAAACAAATAAAATAAAAGCATGATAGCATTGGAAAAATCATTTGCCGAAATATACATGCGTGTTAGTGTCCCTTCTCTTAAAACAAGTACAAAATTAGTTCCGTTATCACAAGTCACAAATTAACTTCATACCAAATATCACCAGTAAAACAATTATCAGTTGTGTTAAAACATTTTTACCTGTATACAATATAAAATACACTGATTTACTGAATTTGATAATCAAAAGAAACATGGAATTGTAAATCTGGAGTAGCTTGCTAAATACCACAGGAATGTCAAGTTTGTGTCATCAAAATCATTTTAATTTTAATATGTTGCATTCCACAAATCAGTAAACCATAATTAAGTATTGCAATCCCTATTCAGAATCATATAATCAGCACACCCTTTTCGCCACAAAAATTCAGGGAAAACTGTTTAGTCATTTGGTGAGACTCTGATACATTTCAAGTTCTGTTGCTGTTTAAAATAATTTAAAATTTGGTAATAACATTGGCTCCACCAGGTCCTTTGGGGCCCAGATTGGGCTACCTCTGGAGCTCTATGCCCTATCAATTGTGCCCAGAACTAACAAACATTGCTCAAAAGAGCCCCAGAGTCCATAATATTAAGTCTTGAACTGGACGATAAATTAAGATGGAGCATATGATGACTGTTAGGGCTAAACATATTTCCATGGAGAAATTCTCTTCCCTTCATCAATGAACTACAAAAATGTTAAAAAGAATGATTCTAGAACACTTCCTGAGTGTTAAAGATCAGCCAAAACCACAAAAAGTACAAATATTGCAAGTTTGTCACTAGGTGGAAATTAAAAAAGTTTTATGTAAATTGCAAACAAATTTTGTTGTGAATGTGTGGATATTATCATATATTAAATGCATTGCATATAATACTAAGAAACTTTAAAAGTTAAATCGTATAAAATTTATTTAACACTTACATATATGAGGGACTCTTAGCTTGTACATAAACATTTGTACAAACATGGACATTATTTCCTATCAGATTTGTGACTTTTTTTCCTACATTTATTAAATGTTTGATTTTTTTCCTGTGACTGTTTTTCTGTTTATCATTTTTATCAAGATCAGATCACAGTAAAGTATTTAGTCGCACTGCCATTTTCACGATTCCTCCTTTGACATAATCAACTATTTATACACAACACAATTTAAGAATAATGTTTTATTATTAAAATATTAAACATACTAAATCTACACATAATATTAAAATAAATTGTAACATAACAGTACATTTCTAAATTCTACAATGGATGACTAACAATATAATACATTATTGGCTTTCTTGGGGCTACTCATTCACTTAAAAGAATTTGACTTTATAATTTTTTAAAACTAATCAAAAAATGAGAAAAATAAATTTTTAAAACTTATCAAAATATGAGAAAAAGGTTCATTCCTGGGGCGATCCCCAGGAATAAACCTATTTGTTCCTCGGCAGGAATGAACCTACTTCCTGGGGCGATCCCCAGGAATGAACCTATTTGTTCCTTGGCAGGAATGAACCTAATTCCTGGGGCGATCCCCAGGAATGACCTATTTGTTCCTCGGCAGGTATGAACCTAATTCCTGGGGCGATCCCCAGGAATGAACCTAATTGCTCCTGGGCAATCCCAGCGTAGTAAAAATACTACTTTAAAATACCTATTTGTTCCTCGACAGGAATTAACTTATCTGATGTATTATTGAATTGGGGGAGTATGATTCCCCTGGAATTAAAAAGGCCAAATGAAATGAGTTCATAAAATGAAAGAGTGAAAGCCCCCAAGAAATAATAATGCTAACAAATACAAAAGTAAAAATAAACTACACCCACAATACAATAGTTTCAAAAATGACACATTTTCTGTTGTGCTTTAGAAATAACCCTCTTATCAGTTCTTATATATCTGATATAACAGTCGGATGACCATCTACCGAGTGTTTGTATGATATGATCTTCAACTCCCGCTGCTGCAGCTGAAGTAGTGGCACCAATTCTGAACGAGTGACCACAGAAATCACTTTCCCTATAACCCAGACGGATTAAAAGCTGTCTTAGGTAATTAATGAAAGTTTCCCTGGATAATGGCCTACTTAAATCAAATTCACTTTCAACAAATAAAGGAAAGCTTGCTAAAGCTCCCATCTATTAGCGATACTTCAAGTACTTGTTCATAACATGCACTGGTCCAAAAATATCATTTTCATTTATAGTTATATCTTCTCCTTCTCGAAAAGGGTCAGTACTAGATAATCTTAATTTTAACACAAAACGAATCATGTAGTAGGCTGATCTTAACATCATCAATTACTACGCAGTTCAGATAATCGTCCTTAGTTTTGCAAGTGAACTCTCCACATCGAAGAAAACCAAAGAATGCTGTCAAAAAGGCACACTGCAGCATAAGATCAATGAAAGGTGAGAAAACACCTGTTGATAACAAATTGCATAATCGTTTTAACACATCTGAAGTAATAGGCAATCTGTTCCTAGAAACACTGTGTTGAGATTTCTTAATAACCTGCATGATATACGGAAGTCATTCTGTTCCTGTGGTAGGGTCATTATGACCTGCACGCAAGTAATGGTATCGTATACCCGCTATGTACATTTTAATAGTATCATGTTGCAGCTTTTTACTATTCTTACAATGAGTTGCGAAGTAGATTAAATGGTCCTCTGTTATTATAGGTAAACAATTAACGGAGCACTGTATCCCGCTCATATTCATGAATGTTACAAAACTCTGTGCAGCTGATCTATAGTTTTGTTTTGTTCTCCGACTTAAAGATAAGTCCCATAAATTACAGGCTTGTTGTTCTAAAACATCATTATGTGGGAAGGCAAGAGGCAAGGCACTGGCTTTTCTTCTGCTTCTGGTGCTAGTATTCTGAATTTCTGCATCTGGTAACGAGAAAGAGAGTCCGCAATATTATTGTTAATACCAGGAATATGTTGAGCATGAATAATAAAATGGTGTGTAGCAGCATGAAAAGTCAACTTTCTCATAAGCTTCATGATACTCTTAACTTTAGACCTGCCTTTGGAAATAATGTCAACTGTAGTCATATTGTCGCAATGGAACAAAATACGCTTTCTGTTCCAATTATGACCCCACAAAACACAAGCCATGACTATGGGGTAAAGTTCAAAAAATGCCATAGATGTTTGCTCATCCATAACTTCTATAGGAAAATCGCCCTGAAACCACTGATTTTTGTAAAAACCTGCAAATGAATTTAGTGTAGCATCAGTATATAGTTCCATATCAGCGGCTTCCATTATATTGTCGTTAATGAAAAAAGATACACCATTCCATTTTCTCAAAAATAACAACCACATATCCAAATCTAATCTACATTCAAGGTTTAATTGTATTCGGTGGTGAAGTTTCTTTACCTTGGTTGATAAAGCTATAAGATGTGACACAAAGGAGCTTCCATGCAAAATAACTCTTGAAGCAAAATTCATGTGCCCTAAAAGACTTAGGATTTCTTTTTTTGTACAATGTTTGCGGTTGCGAAACGTCTCAATAAATTCACAAATCCTGTTAACTTTCTCGAAAGGCAGTCGGGCTTCCATCAGTTCCGAATCTAAAAATATACCTAGGTATTCAATAACTTTACAAGGCCCAACTGTCTTTTTAGCTGATAGAGGAATTCCTAATGAATCAAATATAGACAACAAAGTTTCTTTGGTCTGAACTGCATCAGCACTCTGTGATTCTATTACTAAAAAATCATCTAATAAATGAAGAATGTTCCTTATATTGTAATTGTTAGTAGCTATCCAGCCCACTGCTTGCGAAAGATTGTCAAATATTTTTGGACTTGAACGTGAGCCAAAATCTAATTGTTTGAAAAAATAATATTTGTTGTTCCATTTAATACCATGAAAAGGCCGTAAATGAGGAGACACTGGAATTATTTTAAACGCATCGGTTATATCGGTTTTGATAAGCCATGCCCCTTGTCCTAATTTTTTGATGATGTTAACTGCATCATCAATTTTAACATAGTGTAAAGAAAATTCCTCCTTATCTATTAACTCGTTTAAACTAGGATTTAGTTCATCATCATGTGGCGCTGATAAATCTACTATGAGTCGTTTCTTTTTTGAGTACTTGCCTTCAGCTACTCCAATTGTATTAATACGAAAGTGTTTATACGGTATAATGTCAAATGGTCCACACAAGTAACCTTTCTGAATTTCAGTATCAATTAAAATGTTGACACACTCTGGTTGAGAAATTGCTGAAAGTAAGTTTTTGCATTCTATAGAAAAGTCAGGCAAACTTCTTAATCCTGTATGGAAACCATGTTTTTTGAACCATGAATCAAGTAATCAGTAAATTTTAAATCAGGATGTTTGATCAATTCATATTGTAATCTGTGAACGTTGATAGGTGTGTATAATGATAGATCATAATTTTGTGTCCTATTTACCTCTTCCTGAACAGTTGCGCCCATTCTTTTGGGGCCCTTCCTCGTTTTTTGACCCAAGGCATTCATTTTGTGAGTGGTCCTTCTTACATAATAGACATATGTGAAGATTGTTACACTTTACATATTTGCAACCTTTTTCCCCATTATAATTGTTGCATACTTCTCTACCATTATGATATACTCTTGATCTACCATATGTATCAGACTTATTGTCCTTTGTTCTTGGATAGTTGAGCGTACCAATAGTACCTTCCTTATGAACTAATGAGGGACAAAAACCTGATAGATGAAGTGTGCTATGACAATGTTCACAAGTGTTAGGCCTAAGATTAGCAAAAATGTTACAAAATAACGCATTGTTTCGCACGGACCAATCAACCATGATATTGTTATAAGTTAAATGTGCCGCAGCTTGTAGAGAAAACTGCCTGTGATACTCATAAAATCCCCTGCCACCATACCTGGTGGCCATATCCACTATATCTCTTTCATAAAGGTCAAGCTCATTCCGCCTCTGGGGATATGCTGAACACATCACGTTTTTGTAAATGCTAAACGCCTGAACAAATTCCCCTTTTGTCACGGATCTATTCAATCTGGGATCCGGTTTATTGGGATACGGAAACTGTTCAATGTTATCACTGCACATGCCAGCGTAAAAAGGTATTAACAGGGATGCAAGATTAACGTCCCTACCTGCTGTAATATTTTGTCTAAGCTGAGGCGAAATAGTTTCCACCAAAGGCAGTGATTCTGCAGAATAACCGTAACAGGTTCGTATGTATCCTCTTGTATCACGATCACTGACCTCCCGAGCCTGGGCTTCACTTCCTGCAGCGGCGGTAGGAACATGCCTGTTCAAGGACGATGTCTGAAAGCATTGAAGAGCCGACTCAATGAAATAGTTCCCTGTAGAACTGGGAGTTGTGATTGGTACTGATGTAGTAGGAGTAATGTTTGGAGTTGTTTGACTGCCGTCGACAAACGTAGTTAAAACTGGAGAACTTGAGGGTATGGACGAACTTGTACTGATACTGTTATTTTGCGGAATATTATTTGACAAAGCAGTTACTTTATTATTCAAAGAAATAACATTCTGCGGTAGATTTTGAACATTGGACGAAAGTTTAGACACTAGATCTACTAAAATTGCCGTTCTGTCGCTATTGTTATTGTTTACATTTTGCGGTGCATTGTGGGATCGTGCACTCGTCTCTTGTGTAACTGCTAACATGGTGTCATGGCCGCCGCTTATGTCCTCGACACTCGATGGTTTCAATAAACGAACTAAAGCCATTCTCCTAGCGTTAGTTGGGAATTTAATGTTCTTAGTTCTCAGCTCTGCACGGAGTCTAGTTAAAGTCCAGTTTTCCAAAAGTTCTGGATCATAATTGTTCACACTTGAAAATTAGATAATCAATACTCAATAAAATATCCAATCACTATTCCATGTCAATTAATTGTTAATATTTCGATGTTAGATAGATTTTTGAATTATATGGTTTGATAACAGTAAATAATAGCTGATTGTAATTGCATCCGATACATCGATGCGTTCTCAATTTCATCAACAATACTCTAACCCCCCTCTAGGGCACTATTCCTAAAAAGCTAAAAATAAATGTTATGTAATTACCTAAGAATAGACTAAGATAACTGCCTGCTGAAATCGTTGATAACAGATGCATTGTATTGTGTATAAACTATAATTTAATAAATCAAATTTCATCAGAATCAGAATTTTATCAGTCCATGTGTCAACGTATATTTGTTCCGCCTAACAGAAGTTCCTCTGGAAACTTTGTTATAAACAATGTCATAATATCTGTTCCTGTTGGAACAAATATTCTATACCATTTATACCGTTAGGAACATTTACTGTAATATTTATTCCAGTGGGATTTTTTTTTTCTCTCCTTCATTATTTGATTACGAAAAAAATCTATAGACAAACTTAAACATATATCTTTATATCTTACTACTAAAACAACACAAACTATATATTTTTCATAACCTGTGCATTTATTATATAAGATAATTATATGTTTGATAATCTTAATGGTAAGCTTCTTTTTGATATTACTGACATGGTATATAATTTTTAAAAATGGAAAATTGTATGTACATTACTAACAAATACTAACAGCTGTATAAATATGTTATTTACTAATGTTAACGAGGCCGGGATAAGGTACCGGTACTAGATGTTTTATAACTAACAAATGTACAGTTTTCAATAAAATATGATAAATTAAAAAAAAACAAAAAAAAAAAAAACCTTAATTTCAAATTCACCGAGATATACCAGATGTAAGCACTCATTGAAATGTGAGCTATTGAGTGAAAGAACATCATCAATATATCTAAAAGTGAAATTAAAGAAATTTGCAATTGCAAAATGCTTTTTCTTTTGTCTTTTAAAAGGTTCTGCATGAATTCAGTTTTATATGTCAAAAACCAAATTGGTCAGTAGTGTTGCATAATTAGTACCTATTGGAATACCGACTTACATTGATTTTGCTATTAATGAATCAAAACAATAATATGCACTCCTATACAGTTATGAACATTTACTACATCAGTTCAATCCTTATATTTTGGCATTGCATGAGGTCATGTTTTTCTCAAGACTGTTTATGTCTTTACACTAAATCCATTGGATATGTTCTGATTGATATTCTAGTCCGGGAAACATGATTATTTATTAATTGCAATTGGTTCTGAACTAGCTTTCAGTAACTGTGAGTATTCTAAGATTATACTTTGTGTCTTTTGTCTTTCTGTTATTTTTTTTGTACTTTGTGTGCCTTTTTCAACAGATTTTTACAGCTTGTTCTTATGTTGTGCTGTATTTAACCAATGTCCCAGGTTAGGGAAGGGTTGAACCTTCATAAACATGTTTAATCCTGCTACATTCTGTATCTGCCTATCTGAAGTAAGGACCTTGTGTTTCTGTGGTTGGGTTAATCCAATACTGTGATATTTGTTTTTTTGATTAATGTTTTGTCTGGCGCAAATACAAAATTTCAATCCTGGTATCTATGATGAGTTTATTGTACATAAATCAGGCCATTAATTTTCTCCTTTGAATTGTTTTACATTCTGTCATGTCTTGGTCTTTCATAGTTTACTATTAGGTATGGGTTTTGCTTGTTTTTGAGGGCCATATGGTGACATAAGTTGCTAACATCTACATGATTTGGTCTCTGGTGGATAGTTGTCTCGGACATTGGCAACTGTACCACATCTTCATTTTTTATAATAATTATATGTACATATATACTTACATCAACAACAACTCCTGTCAAATTATGTGACTGCACTGAAGAGATTGTATCTATCTGGTTTGAGATATTTGGAAACTAAAGAAATAAGTTGAAAGTACATTAAAAAGGGCATATCCAAATATATATATATATGTTCCTGACCATATGAGTATTTGGACCATACACGTATGGTCATGACCATATGCGTATATACTCATATGGTCTGACCATATGCGTATATACTCATATGGTCTGACCATACGCGTATGATCCAGGTAATTGATACGATGAATGTTGAACAATAATTACATAAGGCATAACCCTTCAAGGTGTCATAAATTAAGAGTTTCTAAAAATGAAATTTTGACTTAGATAATAATTTGGTAATCATTGTTACTTGATTAATGAAATAAAATGAATTTTGCTCACAAGTTAAAATCATAGTAGAAGCATTTTTGCACGGTCATAATTAATTTGTCTTTACGAAACACAATATGTCAACTCCGAAAATAACTAAATGGACTGTTAAGCAAGAAGTCAAATGTTTTACTTGTTAGCAATTGGAACACTGAACCCTCCTTTTTTCTTTATTTTGGTGTTTCAATTTGTTTTTTGTAAATTAGAATTTCTTAAAACATTTCAAATCATTTTTAGTTACTTAATTTGTTGATGCTCCTCTTTGTACGATTTATGATTGCAGTAGTATATACGTGCTGCCTCTCTATTATGAAGAAACCACTGTCATTGTAAGATCGTATGAATAAGAGTATGAACACATCAGTTAAGTAAAATAAGTGGAAATTAGAAGATATCAAAGAAAATCTAATCTAGACGCGGGGGGGAAAAATGTCCATGCCCCAAACACCTGTGGTCTAACGTACGGACGAAACTGTCGACAGGATAAAGGTGCTTTAAATTGACTCTAGATAGCGAAGGCAGGACAACAAATATACCAAGATTCAGACAATATGTAACAAAGATAAAGGATTTCAGTTAATAACTAGTGCAGATTTTGGTTCAGAGAACAAGCTGTGTCTGTTAAGGAAGTTTGAATTTATTCGAAAAATATCTATATGGTCTAAATACTCATACATGTTAATAACCAAACGAGTACAATGGAGTATATACTCGTATGGTCCAAATACTCATATGGTCTGGAACATATATATATATTGACTATCAGAAGTCCATTTTCAGTAAAAATACAGAAAATGAATAAAAAAGTAAATTTTTTGCTACTATTATCCCTTGATTATGAAGAAGCTTCTGTCCAAGCTTAATTTAAAGGATTTATTGATGTCTAAAAAACTTCAGTTTAAACCAAGACTGTATCTAAAGGTTAGTGCAAAAAAAAAGCATACTAAGTCTATTTATCAGGAAGATACAGTAAAAATGAAAAAACATTTTCAAAATTTTGTTCTTGATGCTGTCTCTTGATCATAAAGAAGTTTCTGTGGAAGTTTCGTAAAGTTACATGAAGATTTAACAAAGTTATTGATGTTTCAAAACTTTAACCACTGACTGAACCTAAATGTGATAACACCAACAGATCACATGCAAGACAAACTAGAGGCTCTAAAGAGCTTGTGTCGCTCACCTAGGTCTAAGTACATCTTCAACAATGGACATTCTCCAACATTGTGGACTAAAATAGAATTCATGACAAAAATCCCTTTTTTGTTGATCTTGTATTGCTGATCATGTTTTCTGTTAACAGTTTCTCTCTATTTTCTTAAGTTTTAGCCCAAAACACAAAAAAGGGTAAAAAAAATTGTCATTTAAAGGGCAATCACTCCTATAAAGAGTCTACTAACAATTTCTGCAAAATTTTACTGCTTTGTAGATCTGATCTTGCTGATCATTTTTGCTATTTAAAGTGTCTATCTATCTTTTATACTTTTCAAGATAATAGTTAGCAAACAAAATTTCATCATGAAATGAAACATTGTTGTACTATGTACCATACCCATAAACTCAACAACTGAATGTAGTCATCTGGGTCTATTCTATTATCAGGGTCATTGGTTTCAAACAAAAAACAACAACAAATTTTGTAATAAACTGTAGACACAGATATATGTCTGGCTTGTTTGTAATTTACTAAGTAAAATGCAAATGTTGAAATAAAAATGGAAAAAATGTGCAAACATTCAAAGTCAATGAACAATGACAAAAGGCACAGGGTCAAATAGTCTTTTTCGGAAATTAGATATGCCAATGCTTATACAACTGCATATCATTGACGATAAGTGGTTAATCTTAAACTGACCTTATCACAAACTTTATTATGTAAACTAGGCAAAAGTTTCATTGAGGATTGTGAAAAATTTCATTTGTATAGGTTACACCTGACATGCAAAATCAAAATGATTAGCTAATAGTTTTGTAGCTTTTGTGAACTATTGATAAGTTTTATAAATTGTTAGAAACAGTAATAAGACTTCACTTTATTTGAACTTTGATTTATATATAATTTTTTTTAAATCAAGATGAAAAATTATTTTCTACAGAGCAAAATAAGGTCACATGACCCTTTTGGGTAAGATAAATAATAACATTAAACACCACAAAGTGTAAAAATTAATAATATCATATAAAAATTAATAAAATTGTCTTGCATTTATAATAAGCAGCTCAATATTCAAACAAAAGATAGCAATGGAACTATGAGCTTTTGCTCAATAAAGATACCCCACTTTAAGTGTTTGGAAACAGGAAGTTGAAATAAAATGAATCTGAAAACTCATTACATGGTAAAACATGCTGACATTAAGCTTGATATCAAATTTTTAAAATTTGATTAGCAATGAATCTGCAATGTGTCACACAGAATAGCATGCTGACATGAAACCTGACAACAAAGGAGTAGGGCTATAAGGCCCTTATTTGGCTCAAATATTAGTGCAAATTGAAAAGTTACCATTCATATTTTTAACTTTGTCTACAATAGGGTACAACATGTACAAGATGTTCAGAAAATAAATGCAAATTTCACATTTAACAAATATCCATGGCAACAAACCATGACAAAATTTGTGTATTTTGTAAAATTTCTAAATTTTTCCTGTTGTATGTCAACTTTTAAATATAAAGTAGATTGAAAAGTATGTGCGCACCCAAGAAACAACTTTACATTCAGTGAGAATATGTCAATAGTTTTAATAAAGCATCTCTTAAATTATTGTGCTGTTTCTTGCCTGCACACGATGTTTCCACAATGGAAATAATGATGAAAAACTGCATAAACTCAGCAGTTTTCTTTGTTTTCAGGAAAATGGTGCATATTATATGACGCAATATTGTGACGCCATAGCACCAAAAATTGTATGTAATTCATTTAATTTTTTTTATTTTATGCATTTCCAAACATTATGTGCAAATATGAAATAGTTTTCAAAAACTTTTTATTGGGCCAAAACCGGGCCTTAATGCCCCTACTCCTTTTTTGGAAGCTATTATTTGTAATTTCCTAGAAAAAATGTGACTAATATTTCACACATGGCCATTATCTTTTGAATATACAAGTATTTGTTTAACAGGAAGTTGATGAGAGATGAAACGACAACCAATGGTATCCACTTCTACAAAATGCTGGCATGAAGCCTGATAACAAATTAAGGAAGCTATTGTTTGTAATTATTGAGAAAAAAGCAAGGGAAATTTAATGGGACAGACAGGCATATGGACAGACAGACAGTTAGGAGTAAAACAGTATACCCCCTCTTCGAAGCAGGGGAATAAACAAATTTTTCTCTTGCTTATTTCTATGCAATATACTGGTACTCAGCTGTACATTTGTTATTAGTATTCATGTAAAACAAGTATTGTATAATTCAACATTCTCTTCAATTTCCTAATATATGTGACTGTCTAGCTGTTTTGATTATAGTCCCACTGATTTGTCTTGTATAGACAAATCATGCATCTGGCATACCGAGTCATAACCCAGGTATCTTTGATGACTTTTTTAAGCTAGTTTGAAGCACATTTACATTGAACATCTTAAGAAAAATACTAACAGAATTGGCATCTATGCTAACAATTAATGTTGATACATTAGGTGCTCCACTGCAAGAATTACCACATGAATCTGTATCATTGCTGATCTCATTCTTTGTTGCATTTACAGCAGATTCCAATGATGTTGCATTGTTTCGTACATAAGTTATGCTTGTATTCAGTTCAATTAGTGCTATTGCAATGGTATCCACTTCTACAAAAATAAGAAATGAAATAATTATTCTATTCAAAGGAGCCAGTTTCCTACACCTAATTTCTAGCTATTTTGGAGTCAGGAGGAATCCATTATTCAATCGCATTTACAGTAATCACTCTTAATTCCTAAATGATATCATCATACATCATCATTGTCATCCATCATTTAACCAATGTTCAACTGGACCTTTTGCAGAATGAGGGACACAAGGTTTGTAAATTATTATTTTTTTAAATATGGCAGCTAAATGACAGTTGGGGTCATTAACAGTTATTCTTGAAGGGAATCTTAAATGTATTCATTAATAATCAGGTAACACTATGCCTATTTCAAGATTTACCTAGTGGTGCCAAATTTTTATTGATAAAAAAAAAGTTTCACGAGTGAAGTAAAAATAAGGCCTGTTTTTTTTAAAAACCAAGCCTCCTCACAAAAAAAGATGAATGGTCCATATAGCTTACCATATTTCCAAGAAATAGAAATTGCAGGATGATAAACTTGTAAAATTTATGCATATGAAATTAACACCCCCAACCCTAATTAAACTGATTATTCTGCAATGAAACCGTGATCATCCTGCAATAAATCGACCTATGATCAGCTGGCATGCAATCAAGCTGCTCATCCTGCAATCAAACCCTGATCATCTTGCTATCATATTGTGATCATGATGACATGCAATTAAACTGCAATCAAATAAGATTGCATTTGAGCATGCACAACCATTCTGCTTGGTTCCAATTACTTTAAAATCACTAGCATGCAGCATGCTTGCAATTATTGAATTAATGCTTGCAGTTTTAGTTTAGGTGATAGCAAACCTGTTTTTTTTTTGTATTTTAAAGGTAACCATTGTTCAACTTAAGAGGGCAGCTAGTATGATGTCTTCTAATGTATGGTTAACTTTCAGGCTTGTTTGATCTGCCACTTTATGTGCACGTGTCTACTTTCCAATATATCATTGATCATATGTCCTCTTACAGTGAAAATAGTTGATAGCAAACATGATGTTCATTTTGTCATCAGTACCAACATATTAGAATATGAAAAGAATTGGCTGAACAGTGCATTAGTTAATGCATATAAAGAGATAAAGTGGCATTTTCAATCTGTCAAGGACCATAACTCCTGAATGGTAAAAGTAAAAATCGTCAATATCAAACTTGGCCTACATTTGGTTATCAGTAACAACATTTTAAAAAGCATTGGTTGAACAGTTGGTTGTAGTTTGTTCTTGTCTGTCATATTTGTTTTTCTTAAATTGTTTTGTTATAATTTAGGCCAGTAGATTTCTCAATTGAATTGTTTCACATTTTCCATGTTGGGGCCTTTTATAGCTGACTATAGGGTATGAATTTTTCTCATTGTTGAAGGATGTATGATTGCCTATAATTGCTTACATCCTCTTCATTTGAACTTGGAAAGTTGGTGGAAAGTTGTCTCATTGGCACATCTCCTTAATTTCATAAGGGAATTGTTTGCAGCTGCAAGCTGTACTTCACCATTTCTCAGAAAACCTGGTTAAAAATTATCATTCAAAGATGATAACTTACATAAAAAGTCAATTGACAATTTCAGCATTTTCGACAAATTTGTAGATCAGTTTTTAAGTCCACAGGAGTGAAGGAGTCAACTAATAATGTTGGCTGTGTTGACTTATTTGTAGATCTTGTCTTGCTGATTATATTTGCCTTTTAGTTTCTTTGTATCTATAACAGTTTTCAACATAACAGGTAATTAGAGGTTCTTTAGAGCCTGTGTCGCTCACCTGCATCTTCAACAATGGCCACTTTTTGATAAAAATCATCATGAAAGGCAATAACTTTATAAAGAGTTAACTGACAATTTCAGTCATAGATATAGGAAGATGTGGTATGAGTGCCAATGAGACAACTCTCCATCCAAGTTACAATTTATAAAAGTAAACCATTATAGGTCAAGGTACGGCCTTCAACAGGGAGCATTGGCTCACACCGAACAGCAAGCTATAAAGGGCCCCAAAAAATTACTAGTGTAAAACCATTCAAACGGAAAAACCAACGGTCTAATCTATATAAAAACGAGAAACGAGAAACACGTATGAACCAAACAAACAGACGACAACTACCGCCATCAGACTCCTGACCCAGAACAGGTGCAAACACTTGCAGTGGGACCAAACGTTTCAATGGTACCAAACCTTCTCCCTTTTCTGAAACAACAGTATAACATCACAACATAGAAAAACACACTATAATATATCAATTGGAAGACTTAACTCAATCAAAAAATGTAAATTAACACACAATGAACGAATAGATTTGACCTGTGACACCTGAATGCAAATACACAGTTAATAAAAAATTACAAGGGATAAATAATTAAAGTCAAAAGTAAATAAACAGGTTTAAACAAAGTTAAAGTATGATATCACTGTGAAATGTCAAACAATTTTTAGAAAATCATCACTTTTGAAGAAACCTGCGTCATATTATACACAGGTAAATAAAATAATTTTGTTGTTAAGTATACTTCTTCTTCTGTGTGTATAAAATCTTCCGTCATGTTGACATATTTGAAAATCTTGTCTTGCTGATCATTTTCGCGTTTTAAAGTTTCTATGTACATTTGTATAGATCTATTATACTTTTCAAGATATAAGGCAAAAACTAAAAAAAATAGTAAAAATCATCTTTAAAGGGCAATAACTCAAATTACAAGTTGACTGATGATTTCAGCTATGATGGCTTTTTTATTATTCATTAGTTGTTCCTCTTAGACTAATCTAATCACAAACTTTAACATGCAAACTATGCAAAACATTCAAAGTCAATAGACCATGACTGAGGGGGTGGAGCAAAACAATCTCCATGGAAATGAGATGTGCCAATGCTAATGCATCTACATACCAAATATCATTGACCTACCACTAGTGGTTCCCTTTAAACTGACCTGATCATTAACTTATACATGTAAAGTAAGCAAAAGTTTCAAAGTTATATACTGTCCATACTAAGGGACTAAATTTGTAGACAACGAAAATCAAAGGACGATAACTGTGTCTTCGGACCAGTAGTTCCCCATAAATTTTACCTAATCACAAATTTATACATTGTTGACACCACCACCGACGCCGCCGACATCTATGCAACACAAAAACTGGTTAAAAATGTCATTGAAGGGAAAAAAACTCCAATAAGGAGTCTTGTGGCAATTTTTGTCAAACTGAGCAGAAGGTAGATCTTAATATTCTTATAATATGTTTCCCACTTATTGAGTAAGATTTTCTCTATCTATAATAATTTTTAAAATAATAAACAAAACTTGCATTTCACCCCATTGTACTATTTTTAGACTTAGTGTCCATGTTGTTTGGCAGTGGGACACATTTTTCACAGGGATAGAAATGAGATTTTATTTTAACTGGCCAAGCGGGCTAACTCCTTTCTAAATTAACTTGCCCTTCCAGACTTTTACTGGCCCTATAAAATTGAGAAAAAAAACCATTGATTTTCCTAAATGTAGTAATGTGTTAACTGTGTAATAAGATTCAAAAGTTCAATATCAAAAATAAGATAATGATAAAGAATGGTAATTGAACATTTTTATTCAACATGGACATGACAATTTAAACATCTTTGACCTTTTCTTCTCTATCAATAACATTACACAACACAAAATTATGGAATGCCTTTTATAGGTAGAACATCCTGTGATGAACATCCCTGTTGTTTCACATTGTTTACATATTTCACTATACATTCCAGTTTCAGCATTTTTTAACCACATGAATTCAGTCTCCCATTTAAGTAAATATTTACTATTTTGATCTTTTTTTTCATTAACTCTTTGGTTTTCAATTCTGGAATTATTCAATTTAGGCACTTTGACCTTAGGAACGTAATTGTTAAGAATTAGAGGCGAAGGATACCAAAGGGACATTCAAACATACAAGTTGAAAATAAACTGACAATGCCATGGCTAAAAAGAAAAAGACAAACAAACAGTACACAAAAAACAACATAGAAAACTAAAGACTGAGCAACACGAACCCCACCAAAAACAGGTGCTCAGGATGGGTAAGCAGATCCTGCTGTACATGTGACACCCACCGTGTTGCTCATGTTAGTACAAACCCAGTGATAAGTCCAATTCGGTAGGTCACATTCGGGGAAAAGGGGACGGGATTGAAGTTGCGACAATTGGAACATAACTGTTGTCATCTGTGAAACGGATATTCCATAACGGTCAACCAACTCATGATGGTGTCCGTAAAATTTAAGATTTCAACTTCACCATTTGGAACTCTTGGTTTAATAGCTTCCTTGTAAGCAGCAACCCTCTATCAAAGAAATCATGATAGGAAATACAAGCCCGGGAATATCGTATCAACTGGGAGATATATACTTTGTATGCAGGTGCTGCTGGAATGTTGATACATAGAAATGGAAAGTTCACAATTGGGAAGCTGAAATCATCTCTTTTGTCGTAAAGTTTTGATTTCAACCGACAATCATTTTCAATTTCTAGATGTAAGTGAAGATATGAGGCTGACTTAACTGTATCTGTTGTATCCTTTATCTCAAGTTCAATGGGATAGATGCTTTCAACAATAGTCACCAAAATGTGAATTATTTAGTGAGAGAACATCATCTGTATAGTGGAAAGTGAGGATAAAGAATACTGCTAACTTCTTTTCTTTCTTCCTAAGAAGTTCCTGTATGAAGTCAGCCTCATATGAATAAACAAACAAGTTAGCAAGAAGAGGAGCACAGTTGGTTCCCATGGGAATGCTGATTGTTTGTTGAAAAACATGTCCTTCAAACGTATTAAACTAACCTAAACACAAACTTTAACTTGTAAAATTATGAGGGGGTGGGACCATATAATCTCCATGGGAATGAGACTTGCATACACCAATATAACTGCATACCAAAAATTATTGACTTAACATTAGTTGTTTATCTTAAACTGATCTAATCACAAACCTTAACATGTAAATGCATTTTGTTTGTAAT